TGTGTTTTGTTGTTTGATTAACGTTCATGACCGAGAAAGCAACAGGAACATTAAACTGCTGTGAACCAATATACTGTTGCACATCCATTGTTTACCTTCACCTAAGCCATAAGCATCTGTGTTTACAAGGATACTTGCAAAGCACAGTAATTCAGGCACAAATAGACACAGAAGTGAACAGAAATCAATGTTCACGTGCATCTGCGTGGCTAACTGTGTCTACACCGGACGCGAGCGGTGCAGCGCGACGCAACAAAACACAATAGAACCCATTACAATCAGTGATGCTGTGTGACTGTCTACACTGGATGCGGAGTGACACGACAAATCCCAGACAGTAAACTGATGCCTCGTTCTATTTATGACGTACTGACACAAAGTTCAAATGATATGCAACGGTCGCTTTGTCGCGTCTAGTGTAGACAGACTTTGGGGGCGTTCATATGTCGTGCCTAAAAACACGTGGAAAACGCCAATCGCGCCGCTTTCTCCTTCTTTCTCAAAGCTCGGGAGCTTGCGCTTTCGTGGCGTCTGCCTAGCTAAGCAACCATGACCTGCGCTCTCAGCGACGACGTGGAAGTTTCAACAAAGGATAAAAGGATTTCCAGCACTGAAAATCGCGTTGAGTAGCTCTGCTACTAAATGTATTTAAAATGGGTATCTCTGTACAGCTGTCGCGTCCGGTGTAGACACCGTGTCTGTGTATGAGCAAAGTAAACAATCAGTATAAATATAACGTAATATACTAAACATTGCACATCCTGCGATGTGACTATCGCGGGTGTGCACATCGCGATATCGATGCTGAAACTATATATTGTGCAGCCCTAATATAAATAAAATTTTACATGTATACATGTATGTGTGTATTTATATATACATAATAAATATACACAGTACACATATATTATAGATGCGATTAATTGCAATTAATCATTTGACATAAATCTTATGTATATATATGTGTGTGTGTATATATATATATATATTTATGTTTTTCTTAAATATATACAATATATTGTGTATATATACAATAATAAATATACACTACACGCATATATTATGTAAACAAACTTTTATTTTGGATGCAATTAATCATGATTAATCGTTTGACAGGCCTAATAAATAACTTTAAAGGGGTCATATGATGCGATTTCATTTTTTCCTTTCTCTTTGGAGTGTTACAAGCTCTTGGTGCACTTTCCAAAGCGCTCGGGAGCTTGCGCTTTCGTGGCGTCTGCCTAGCTAAGCAACCATGACCTGCGCTCTCAGCGACGACGTGGAAGTTTCAACAAAGGATAAAAGGATTTCCAGCACTGAAAAT